AGTGATCAAATAGCATAGAAAAATAGAGCGAAAGACGCTCTATCTATTCATAAAAAAAGAAAATTTTTTCAAGCTTTCTATAAGAAAAAATAGTACCTCGCTCACTACTTTTGGATCGCCCTACGTAGTAAATTTTCTGATTCCGGATATGTTCTTAGACTGTAGCTAAACTCGAATCTACAGGGAGAAAATTGGCTTTTTCCAGGCAGCTAGCGAACTGTAGCGAGATTTTTCCAGCTAACTTTTTTCCGTACGAAAACTGCTTCGAATAGAAATTTTTCTGCCATTACACCGGCTATTAGTTGAAGTTAAGAGGAGAATCTTCAAATGTAGAAAAAGTAAACTTGTTTAGTAAACTCGTTTAGAAAATAAAAGTAAACAAAAATGTTTAGGTGATAAGAGACTAATTCCACCAGCTATTAGTTACTGGTGTATTTAAAAAGTTTGAAAGAGAGATATTCGAAATCAGCATGGTCGATAACCTATAACCCACTAGATGTCGATCAAAAAGCGATTTATCACCTCGGGAAGTTCCCTCGTAAGTGGGATGAAGATAGTGGTAGACTGGTGATCGATCGGTAGAAGGACCGACTTTTTTATTGTAAAAATAGTAAGTCTTTTTTCAGTTCATTTATTCTATTTAATCAAGAATAATCTTAGGGAAAACAAGTGTGTTGCACGAACTTCGTGTTTGTTCCTGAAGAAATCGTCGTTCCTTTGCAAGGACCTCATGTCTTTTCGTAATGATATCTGTGTTTCTCCACAAGAAGTTCATGGTTTTTCGTGAAGAAATTGTCGTTTCTTCGCAAGAACGTCAGGTTTTTCCGTGAAGAAATCGGCTTTCTCCCAAGAACTTCATGGCTTTTCCTAATGAAATTTGTGTTTCTTCACAGTGTCTTCATGTTTTTGGCTGTAGAAATCGGTGTTTCTTTATGCATGCATGAATCATAGAAGGTAATAATGATTTTGATTAATAGTAATTCATTTTTTCAAACGGAAATGTTGTGGAAGCGAACCTTTACCACTGGTGTCTACAAGAACGTCATGTCTGAATCAGGAACTGACAGGGTCCGATCCCGATGTTTTCGCCTGGGTATAGATCTTCGTCTGCATGAACAATTGCTACGCATTCCTACAACGAAACAATCACAAGTGATGGAAAGCGTGACATTAGCCAACATGGATAATATCGTAGAGAATCGTGTACTGTTGACCTTAGACCGAATCAATCATCCGTACTCAAAGAAAAAAATGCGTCGATCATCTCATTCTTCATTACACACACGAAAAACGACTCGAATCTTACAAACGAGATATTCATCAAATCTTGAATCAAGTCTTCAAGAATAGACCGGCCATCGATGTCAAGGCAGACGTAGGCAGTCGCGATGTTGTCGACAATAGTGTAGTGTATAATTAGTGCTTTGTTCTTCGGAACATACAATTCTACTAAGAGATTCAAGCCACCTGATGATTCCCTTAGCCGGGATGAAATCGTGATAGTGGTAGCTGTATCTCATCCTCAAGGACATAATAATAGAAAATGTGAAGAACACTAGCAGAAGATATGATGAAGTGACCGTATTTATTTCGAAAAAGAACGCTTCAATCTAGTTTAGGTAGAAGATAAATGTGAAATTTCATAAAAAGTCCAACAAGAGTTTCATACTGATTTTTTCACTCAGTATTTCGACGAATCGTTTCACAAGAGTGTCACTGACAATGGTACATCCTTGGGCAATTTCACCGAAAACTTGCTGCAGTTGCAAACCGTCCAATGCCGTATACATTTGACCAACACCAACCGTAGCGATTTGTCTTAGAAGATTCCGTGCTCCTGTTTCCGATCGCATTTCAGCTCCGAAACCTACTGTGTGACACACAAATCTATGATTGCTACTGTACTTAAGACGAAGTTCGTTTATTTTTGGTATTGGATTCAATCCTTGGTCAAGACCATCGGACATGAATATCATTATCACCGAAGAATTCGACCGATCTTGAGCAATAATACTATCGGCAAGTGTCAAACCAGCTAGATAGTTCGTATTGCCACGTTTCCATGTCAATTCACGAGACATGATTTCAGATAAGAATTTCGATTGATAGACAATTCGTGCGTCCGTCGAAAATTGAACGACGGAGAAAAGATCTATACTACCCTGATCATTGTGGCGTTGCGTTAAAAATCGTTGGTAAGCTCGCAGAAGATCGGCCCAAGACTCATTCTGCATTGAAGTAGACTCATCGAGAACAAAAACAAAGTGGAAGAAAGAATGGGAGTTGGATTCGTCCGGATCAACGAGATTGACGACACTGAACGCATTGGTGATGTCCCATTGTATGCTTTGTTGATAGTAACTTTCAAATGCTCGTTGCATTTTCAGTGTTGCCGATGGATTGAGCGTGCAGAGTATCAAACTAATTTCGGCATTTTTCGTTTGAAGTTTATCGCACAACATACCAATTGTTTGCGAATCAATCCCATTTGGATGGGCATCGTTGTTATAATTATTTAAGTCGCGTCCATGTCCCGGTGCATCGATAATCAAAATAATGACTCGACCGTTTGCTTGTGAATTCCAATCGGTCAAATTCGCGCATTCATCAAGAGCACCCAACGCATCTTCAGGAAGATCTTGACCACCAAAAGCTTTCAGTGGGTTAAGAAAAGTCGTAATTTGATCGACATTATCAGTGAACGGTTGAGTTTCAAATCGTGGCTCATCGGATATGTCCCGATAGGCGACAATGGCAAAGCGAAACTGAACATTCAGTGTTTGATACTTTCCCGATATCTGTTTTCTGATCTCACTAATAATCACCTGCGAAAAGAAAAATAAAGCAGAATTTGTTTAATTTCCGACTGAAGAAATTATTAGAATGTAAAATTCTCCCAGATACTTTTTATGTATCAATTTATGCATTTCTCGATAAAAAAAAGAAGCGAATCTGATGATTATTTACCTTCATCTCTTTTTTTATATGTGGCAGCCAGCCAACCATACTACCGGTACAATCCAGACAAAAGCAAATATCGAATGAAATATTGGTTGTACTTGTCTGTTCCAACGCTTGTTCTCGTTCATTAGTTAAGTTTTTAATTGAATCAAACATTTTATTTTCCCTAAAATGTTGATAGAACGTTTTTGGTTCGACATTCGAGTCGTCATCATTAAGTTCCTCGTAATTTTGTTGATCTGACGCTTTTATGGCTCCTGAAATCCAATCCATCGATTGTGCGACAGCTTCATTTTCGAAGAGAGCACGTAGCAATTTAGGTAGTGTCAGAGCAGAATGACAGTAAACATAACGTTTGTATGAATTCGACAAATTGACTCGATCGAAACCAACAGCAATTGCTACCAAATCGATACAAGCATCTTCAGCTCGTTGCTGAACCATCGGTAAATGTTCACCACAGTGACCATAGCCATCAGTGAACAGAAAAATCTTTCTCTCACCTCGTGTAGAAGTGTTCAAGAGAAGATCAATAGCCACTTCAATTGCATGAGCATCTCGAGTGTTATCATCAATATCGAAATAGAGTTGTTCTATCAATGTCAAAATAATCGAAGCATCCCATGATTGTTCGTGTGTTTTGATTAATCGAACATTTTTGCCAAACACAATCACACTAAAATTATCCAATTCTAATCGTCGACAAGCTCCTATTACGACAACAAGAGAATCTTTCAAACCATTGGCCATACTACCAAACATAGATGCTGATACATCGAGTACGAAACAAAGTGCATGATCTCGTTTTGGTCCTGCTTCTTTGGCACTGAAGATTTTCTTGTGAGTCCATTCAGTGTTGATCGCTTTGATCAAACCGGGCATGTCAACTGATGAACCACGAAGAGCTGCTCGTCGACGTGTAAATTTATTCAACGGAAAGATCATTTCACCCAAGACAAATGCCAATTCTTCAATCAAACTCGATCGATTATGTTCTTCATTATTCCACCAATTCATCGCATTTTGCAATGACTCAGGTCGACTACGACTAGAATAAGTAGCATAATCCTGCCAGTAAAGTACTGTAACTCAAATTGGAATTTGACAATCAAAAAAAAGAAATCTTCCATTGAAATCAGTGTTTTCTCTTCATGATCGAATTATTTGTCGCAAATTGAATAAAAGAATATCTTTAACGAGCTAGTGAGTGCTGCGCACGTTTTGTTATCTTATTCTAGATTTAATCATTGATTAGTTGGTTGTAGTCATTCAATACGATGACTGATGTTGACAAAAATGAGTTTAAAGTCGAACCGTTCGATGAAAATTCGGTCATTAGCAAGAAAACTACGACCACCGCAAGCGCCGATCTAAAGACACGCGCTTCGAAAAAGAAGAAAACCGTTATTATCAAAGCTCTAGTCCTGTATATCCGTCCGAAATATGATAGTAAGGAACTAAAAGAATTTATCGACGAACTTATGGAAGAAAAACAGTTGGATAATTCGGATAAGTGTGCCTCTACACTTCATCGTTATATGCTAGAATCAACACGCGAACCAGTTGATATGGGTAATCAAAATGTACTCACTACTTATTGTCCTAACCTGTTCACGCAAAAGAATGATGCATTCGGACCATGGAAATTCCATTTCTTGCTCGGTCTTCTTGAGCTCTACTATGAATGTGGTGAACCGAATGTACGAGAAGCATTTCCTGAAGTGTGGAAAACAGATTCCACAACGAAAATTCATGTGAAGCCAGTAGAAGAGAACGCGAATGATGTGAAGACATCAACTGCAAGAACAGAACCTGTTCAACAGGAAGAAGACGTCACTCTTGACGATCATCTTCAGGTTATCTGTCGACAGAACAACTGCAACGAAGATGATGCGATAGTGTGGTCAAATGCCCTAAAAGGTAAAGATTGAAAATTTGTTCTTAGTTATTTGACATTCATTTTGTCCCAACTAGTGATCGATTATTTTCGAAACTTTGACTGTCTTACTGGAAAATTGACGAATATTTTTTGTTTCAGCGGAGGGTATAGGTACCATTGAACATCTTCGAAATGTGGCAGCTAATGAAGCTTTCTGGGAGAAGTTGTCATCGATCAAATATTTGGCTAAGCAAAGAATACGCGACTACATTCAATTGAATTCACCACCTCCAGCATTGAACACACCAACAGATCCTTACGAGAAGTCTAAAGCTACGCTACTCGGTGATATCCATCGTGTGCGACGCTACTTCCATCATGTTGCCAAAACATTACAAGGTATTCCTAATCTTGATCGAAAAGCCGTGGATTTGGCAATTACTGAAATAAGAGAATTCTATGATGATGATGGTAATGTTCTCAATACTATTCATGCCTATTTGAAAACATTCTGTCTACGAAATGACATGGTCGGTGAGAATGCTTATAAGCAGAACCGCAAAGATTGGGAAGAAAAGCGAACTGTTTTACTCGAGAAATCGAAAGAAGGTCGTAGCGAATATAACGAAGTGGAGAACAAGCGTTCGCAAGCAGCCAAGAGTGTAGAGACTCACGTAATTCGTTTACGTAATTTGACTCACCAGAAGAAGCAAGTGAAAGAAGATGAGCAAAAGTTAATCAAAAAAATGACCGCGAGCAGCGGAAAACCAATCGGTGATCTTCGATCCGACTTAGATGAGTTTCGAAAAAAATTCAAGTCACTTGACGACGAGATCCAAAAGGCCGACAAATCACTCAAAGACTTTCGTAAAGCACTGCTTGAACTTAAAGAGAAACTTGTTCCATTGGCCAAAAAAAAAACCGAAGAAGAGGACGAGATTCAAGAACTTGATTCTCGTCTCGCACTCAATCTTGGCGATGCACATCGAAAATTGAATGTTAAATTCGGACGAGGATTGCTACTATACGGACCACCAGGAACAGGTATGTAAGTGCTGTATTTTCTGCACATCGAGAAACCAGTATCTCAGCCACTGAATCCATCAAAAAAGAATTTGTCAGACAAGGTTGATTAAAATGTCGCATATTTGGTTATCCTTGAAGATTGCAAAGGCAAGAGCATCTTCATTTTCTAGATCTCTCCTCGTTGATATGTGATATAATTGAAGAGTTTTTAACAATCCGATCGGAAAAATATTTGAAAAAAACATAGATCAATCCATCTAGCAGCAAAATTTTATCAGACAGTGGTCTCACATAGAACATGCAGAAGTGTATTCAATGTAGTGGCAGGCACAAGTGGAATGATGTGCTAGTGACGCTGATCAGATGACCAAACTGTTCTGACATGTTTGTGAGAGACCATAAATAGGTCGGTCATCGAAATGCGATACTATCTTGAATCTAGGGAGACGCTTGCTAATGAATCGCAATATGTTGAAATTCTAGTCACATAATTTTTCTTAAACTTGTTGCAAATAACATTTGATTCCAATTTGAACTGTCATATCACAGGTAAATCCGAACTATTGAAATGTGCTGCAATATTTGCGGGCATCACAATGACGACGACTCCTCTGGCAGCCGGTGAACTGAATCGTCCCTATGTTGGTGAAACGGAAAAATTACTTGTCGACATAATGTACCGTGCCGCCGCCATACCCCATCTGATCTGTGCCATGACAATCGATGAAATCGATGGACTCGTACCGAAACGTGACAACAATGCTCAACAGTCGAAAGTCGATGGCATTAGTGTTCTTCTCTCGCATATTGAAGGTGTCAAAAACATACCGAATTTAATTGTTTTTGGTGCAACAAACCGACGAAATATGATGGATGAAGCGTTCCTTCGTCGCATGCAAGCGAAATGTTTTGTCGGTCGTCCATCGCCCCAAATTCGAAAGAAAATGTTTCGACCATTATTGTGTAAAAATTCCCACACCTTTACAAACAAACGTCTCGATTTTCTGGTGAATATTACAACAAATTTTAGTGGTGCAGCCGTCGGTGCACTGATGTCGAGTATTATTGTTGCCATGGATCCAAATAAAAACGCGTCAGGAACCCTTACTGATCATACTCTTCTTGCATTGGCCGATAAAGCAGCACGCGAATTTAGTTGTTGGTTTGGTATTGAAACTTTACCAGAAATTTGTCGTCTCTATCCGGATATATTTAAATCAACCGATCAACAAGAAAAGTATTCACTTAAATTGCCCACACGTTCACCGTCAGGTCGCATTCTGATCGATTTACTAGATCGAAAATGTTTGATCGAACTTACCGATGAACCTACTCTCGAAAGTGCATTAGCTGAAAATGAAACATCTACATCAACATTGATATCGCGTTTTATTAGCAAATGTTCAAGTCGAAATATTGATACAATTCATATAATTGATCTCAATTTTCTGATCAAACATAATGCATTTGATGAAAATCAACGATTTGAATTGATGACAACGACTTTTCATGGTAAGAACAATTCGATTTCGAAACTGTTTCTTTCTCTTTTGATAATTCAGATGACAGCATGTTTTTCTTTTGATAAACTTTAGAATGCGATGAATATAATCGATCGATGCTCATTTTTGATATCGACTCACTCATTATGCTCAGTGTCTCTGATTCGAACATGTCAAAATCGGTATCAATATCCAACATTCAAATGTATCAATTTATTCGAGAAAAATGCAAAAAAGCCATTGTTGAACAAAAGTCTGCGGATAGTACAGTGAGTGATCTTTAGAAGAGAAAAATCTTGCAATAAAAATATTTGTTTGCAGTCGACTACGGTCATCGGCGAACAATCGAAGGAGAAATGGGTGGTAATGGTAGTGAAACATCCACTGCTTCGTAGTCTGTTGATTGATGATATCGAATTCAAGAAGACACACCAACAAATTCGAGAAGAACAAGACGAGGAAGAAAAACGTATCGATGATGAAATAGTGAAAATGTGTCCGAAATGTCAACAAAATTATATTCAGTCAAAGAATGATCACGGCACTTGTCACTATCATGACGGATACATTTATGATCTAGTTGCAGAAAAGGCATTGAGCAATAACGAAGCTCAAAAGATCACTCAGAAGTATAAGTTAGCAGTCAATACTCATGGTACCAATGATTCGAAGCCCAAACCACCGGAATTAATGTGGGCCTGTTGTCTGGGCTTATATGGCGTCGATCCAACGTGTAAAGTAGGTACCTGTGGATTACCTAAAGAACTTAAAGATCATCCAATCGAACCAAATCAAGATGAAATTGAGCTTGTTCAAAACCATTTCAAGAAAAATTCTGCAGCCATGGCGAATATCGAAGATTTTCTCAAGACTTATAAACCAAAGTCGGTACTACCTGAAACAAGACCCGCAAGTCGATTGACAACCTCAGCATCGGTGACCAGTGTTACCAAAAAATAAACAGTACTTGTCTAATATTATTTCATGATTTTACTAGCAAACATGTATTTTATTTTCTAATCAAGATTGACAATATAGTCGAGATGTTGTTCAACACATTCTCATCATTCATGAATATGTACTCTCGACTAGCAAAAAGAAAACAACAAAAGGCATCCATGTTACAATTTCTTTGCTTTTTAATTTGTCAAGGTGAATTTCTCGCGAAACACTCATGGCTCGTTCGATAGCTACACAAAACATAAAACCGATTCCCACTAACAAGGACATAACGAACGATTCTTGATCGAGTCCATTTGTAACGCAAAACAAGAAGCCAGAATTTGTCGTGGGTATTTTTCATTTGAAAGATCAGAATGGAAAAATTATGGTGAGGGTGAGAGTGATTAAGATTACAGATGCGGAGTGACCAACAGTGTGATAGATCAGGCTGACCGTATGTTGAAATGCTGAAATGCAGAGATGATGGCAATCTTGTAAGTGAGTGAAATATGTTACCTTGAAGTAAGTGCAGTATGTTACTGAAAAGATGAAGATTTTTTATTAATTTTTCAATGATATTATTTTTGAAAGGTTTTAATTTTGAAAGTTTTTATTTTTAAAATAGAAAGTAGAAATGTGACAAAAAACTGGCTAGTATAAACGCGTTTCGAATATTCTTTTTCAACAAACTAGCGAAAAATTGATAACGAAAAAAGTGGTACTGTATGACAAAAACGTAGTGGTATATTTAGGTCTCTGTATTCTCAGATGATGCAATTATAGATCGAAATGCTATTTTATTTTATTTTTCTCTCTCTCTTTCTTCTTCTTGACTTTTCTGACTTCTTCTCAATCGTTCCTCCCTTTCTTTGTTTTTAAGAAGCGCATCATTATTTGATTGCCTAATTATTGATCTCGTTTCCTTCTCTTTTGATTACATCTGATTATGTGATATTTTCTTAAAGCTGACATTGCATGCGCGACCATCATGGTACTTAGTGTAGCTGCTCCTGGTGGGGTGTTTGTATGTTCTTGGAGCGGACGTTTTCCATTGATACTATGGACCACGAAGAGCAGTTATGTCGGACAGTTTTTTGCTATTCGGTTCTATGCTGAGAAAAATGGGACAACAGTCATGTTCCTCTTCTGCTTTGTCGGGCGATGCGTGTGTTGTTGGTTTTTGAGATTAATCCATATGCCTGACTTGCATGCACGTCTGTACCTTTTTTGCATTCCAACCTACAGGCCCATTGTGCTCGCTTTTGCCTTATAAAAAGCCTTTTTGCTTATTCTTTACCTATCTGCTTCGTTCTAGATATGTACATAATATAATATATTGTTGGGCGGTTTCTTCCGAATTAGCATCTGCGTTAGGTTTTCAGATAGGCGGTTGGCAAAAATTGGATGTATATCCGCTAACGAGATGTCTTCAAATGCTTCAATCCACATTTGGTGAAATTTGGAGCCAAACTTTGAGGTTGTAGGCACATAGGTGAAATGGAGTAGCATGTCGTGTTTCGGATCTATGTTTTGTTTTGATTTTTCCCTCATGTTCGATGCCGGGTTTCGTACTTTTTTACGGCATTCGTTATATTTCGTTTGCGGTTCAAATGTCATGTCTAGGTCTCTCATACCTATGTCTTTCAGCAGTCGGTCGAAATGCGCGTCTATAAATTTACTCGGGTATCCATTTAGAAGTAGATTTAGTAGTAGTGTGCGAATCTGAAATTTCTCTTCCTTAAAATCTCCTACGTCTGAACAGATTCGTGGATCACCACGCTCCATAGATGATACGCTGATTCAGGTTGGTCACAAAAAACACATTGTTTTTCTAGTTCCGTTCTGCCTACCCGTGCCCGTATGTATAGTGCGTTGTTCACTAATTTAACCCAAATCTTATGTGCATGTGTTGACATTTTAGGATCTTATATAATCTAATAAGTTCCCACTCTAGGATCTCACAGGATCCTATAATAGGAATCCTAGGTCATTTTTTGCTTTAAGATGGCAGACGTATCCTATATGATTTCATCGTATCATATAAGATCAGACAAGATCTTATTTTAGAATCCGATAGGATCTTACAAGATCCCATATGATCCTGTTATAGGATTGTTTGACCTGGGTATGGACAGCACATATATTAGTAGAAAAAATAGATTTGTTTAACTTAGCCCATAATTTGTGCCAATGTACTACCTGAAGATCACTTTTTGACTTCAATGGTAAACCAATTTTAATTGTTCATTCTCAACATAAATAGATCGTAGTTTTATTAAAAAGTAAATCATATGCGTAAAGTATGTGTCGAGAAAACAGTCAAATGTCAGAAGAAGATTCGTCAATAATAAAAGCTTTTATAACACAAAATGTCAAGAAGTAGAATAGCGACAGTAATAATAAAGTAAAACTCGAATTGACTTCAAATTATAATTTTGTGTAAATTAAACTGAAGCTGACATACAAAGATAAGACGAGGAAATGACAATAAGTCATGTAGTTCTATATTACATCGACGGACATATTTTTAACTACTTAGACTTTATCTCGACTATGGTTTGCAGCTCCGAGAGTAGTTGTTGAGTTTGATTATCACATCGTTATTGTACCTTGTCAGTTGATATCGTGAAGTACTGAGACATTGTATATTTCAACATTCGCTTCTTGATAACTGTTCGCATTGACATTTTTTCACGGTGATATTTGTCCTTGCCATTAAATAGGTTGTCGACATTCTTTTCTCAACATTTCGACTCATCCATGTCTTAAATTATTCCAATTTAGATAATTTATATGAGCGATAAGTAATCTTAATCTGCTCTTCGAAAATAAGAAAATAACCTATTAAAATATTAATAATAGAGCACTATCAAATAAGGAGATATCTCTTTCCACATAAGATATCCCATGTGCGTAATAGGCCTAATAGGCTTTTGAAGCGAAGAGACCCAGTTTACTCTGTGAAAATAAATAAAACGTTTTTTTTTAAAATGAACTTAGTGTAAATGAGAAGTCTCTTTAAAATTTTCCGAGTGAAAATTTACTTTGGTCCGAAGGGTTATTGAATCACAGCAGTACGCCGGAGTTAATAGGTAGTATTCGAATTCTTATATGTGCCGTTATTTTCTATTGTACATTTGCAGGTCAGAACGCTATTTGTAGCAATGCTGCATGTCGTACTTTCAACGAATCTTCTAATAGTTTCACAATATTTAACGCAAAATCTAAAAAACTTCTTCGGCATGTGATTTGTCGTAATTTACGAGAAACTAAATGGTTTCCAGCGAATGCTAATGAATATCCTGACGATATAATCAGCGGGGATCGCTATAAACATGTTAAAAGGATACTAGGTCAAACCAAATTCATTTCCTTACTCTTACACCTGGATGGAGTTCCATTAATCAAGTCTATTCAACTTGGTTTATGGAGTTTTTCCGCATCACTCGTCGAACTTCGTCCGAAGCTACGTAAAAGAAGAACGAACACAATTCTTCTTTCAGCATATGTAGGTTGTGAAAAACCAAACGTCATTGAATGCCTAACGGAAATAGTTGAAGAATTAGAAGATTTAAAATTCAATGGATTAATAGTAGAAACAAAAGATGTGGGCGGCCACTCTTCATCTGTTCGTTATAACATCGTATTTTTGGGATTAGTTGGAGATTTACCGGCCTTGTCAATGATTTTAAACTTCAAGGGGCATACCGGTCACTATGCCTGCTTTTTCTGCTTCACACAAGGTAATTTATAAGGCAGTCAGCTAAGTCTAGTGAAAACTAAAAATTTCTTAAATCGTTTATTTCGTTTGTTCTATCGTTTAGGTGAGCACGATCGAAAAATGCTATATCCATACACTCGTCCTTTACAGAAACATTCACCCCAGGATTTCCACCGTTTTGCTATGAAGGGCAACCCGACTAGCGATTACTACGGACATTATGGAAATTCAATAATATCAAATTTATTCGAAAAAGATCTTCCATCTGCTATTATGATAGATTACCTACATGCAAGTCTATTACGACAAACAAAGACAATACTCACACATTTAAGAGATGAATTATCCAAAAGCGATCTGGAAGAATTATCTATTCTACTTAAGAATCAAAAGTTTCCTCACGCATTTAATCGTCATCTACCTTCACTATCGAATCTGTCGTTCGTAAAAGGTACAGAGCTTAGAAATTTGTTATTGTATGCAATATTACCAAGATTTATGAATTATTGCCCTATCGAAACTGTGGCTTTTTTATGTTTATTCGTATGTAGCATTCGACTTCTCCATGGAACTAGTATTATTTTAGTCGACCGAGATACGCAGAAAGAAATGACTGAACACCTGCTTGCCGAATATTTGAGTGAGTGTTGCCGTCGTCTGACTTTTGTCGAAGTGTAAAAGAACTTCGATTTCTTCTTACATTAAGAATTCCTTTCCAGCGCAGCTAGCGTCTGATAGATACTGCTTATTCTGTGTGACGTGCTGAATCGCACAGAAAGACAGCTGCTAACCAACGGGTAGGCCATAATAAACGGTCCGAAATGTTTTCCTACTTTGAAGGCATTTTGCATTCATTCCGAAAATTAGCTCCCCGCTTATTCGTCAGCGAACTAAAAGGCCTATTAAAGCTGTCGATTTAGTTTTTTAAAAATATTTTGTTCCGACTGAAGAAATCCAAAATATTAACGTGTACTAATTCTTTCAACTGCGATTGCCTCCTTTATTAGCGCACCTCTCCTTTTGGGCATCTTTTTTTCCGAAGAACTTTGTGAGTAAACCGAAGTATTTTCCACAGATCGACAGAGAATTTTATCCACTACCTTTCAATACTCTTTTCATAATGTCTGCGCTCAAAGTTCAAGACAAACCGGATTAAATTTGAAAGTAGTGGCGTTTCAAAGAAGTTTCGATATACTGAGTATTTTCAAGCTAGGACGGTGTTTGAAAAATTAATTTTTCCACAGTTAAATGTAGAATTGAATCTTGAACAATACGATATATATTTTATTTCGAACAG